TGAGCAGGATGAACAGGAGGGCTATCAGGAAGAGGTTGACGAGTATCTTTCGAAGGGCGGGGTGACGGAATTGTAACATTCCACTGTTTTATTTCACCATTCTTTTGAGTTGTGTCCCATGTATAGTACTATATCTACAGCAGAAGAAAATCACATTTGTATCACACCTGAGCTTTACGAGGCCTGGATGAACCGGAGCTACAGCCATGTATCTGTGATGTATGGCTGGGCTATCCCACAGCTGCACAAAACCTATTTACATGGTTAATGACTACGTAACTCGCATGTACCTACGTATGTGATTCCAACATATTAAGAGATGTTGGGGTGCACGTAGCATCCACATATCCTAGTGCCAGTGTGGTGGCAGTCCAGAACTAACGTTGTTGCCACAATGCACCGGTGTGGCGACTATGTGGCGGTGTCACCTGTTTCGGATGAAGCTTCAATGTGGTGCCCACATTGGTTTGCTTCGGAGGTGTAGTGAGCCCAAAGTTTGCACCGCACGGTGCAAAGGTTTCCTGGCTGGTGTGGCTGAAGCGTGACGCGCGGGTCGGAGTTTAAATTTGGCAGGAGTTGCCGACCCCCATCCATAGCAAATGACTGCAAGGATAAGCTTTCGTCAGCATTATATTTATATGGGTGATGACTGCTACCTACCTTGATACATCCTCAAGCTTCTTGGTTGTTACGTCCGAAATACTTTTGGTCCAGCAAACACAGCTGCATGCATGCGTATTCCATCCACCTCCTTGAGGCAGTGGTTTGGCCCAGGCTGATATCATTGCGCTCGTTATCGCAATTACTTCGCCTGGACCTCCCATTTCCTCGGCAGGCCAGGAAACTCAGTGTACTCTCCTTTCGATTCTGAGACAAAGAACCGGAAGGAGAAAACAGATGAGGCTATCGGATTGAACTTGGATGAAGCGCGAGCATGTACATGTAGTAGATCTAGACTCCTACTACCTATCTGGATCTCATAAACTAATTGAAGCTCCGCCTGAATGACCGATGATTGCTATAATTGTGTAAGAGAGTATAGACTGGGTACTTGTCTAAAGTTTTTGACGGCACCGATCAATCCATTTGCTTTACTTGTGCCCTCCTCGCCTCTGTCGCCCGGTCGTCCATAACATCGCCGCCAACATGTCGACCAGCGGACTCAAGGCAATTGCGCCTGTTCCCACTGCCAATGATTTTTTGGACATTGTGCTGTCTAAGACGCAAAGGAAAACCCCTACGGTATGAAGACCTAACGAATGCATCAGGAACATGGATCTAACAGAAGGAGAACTCGCTAGGTTATCCACAAAAACTTCAAAATCAGCAGGATAAGGAACTTTTATATGCGCAAGGTCAAGTTTACTCAGGATTCGTTCGATGAAAAGCTGGGTGCTATCCTGAATGAGTTCCCTATGCTTGATGTGAGGAATTCATCGGTGAGGTGCGATCCGATGCTTAATGGTTCTTCAGGAACTACACCCCTTCCTGGCTTCCCTCATGAACGTTCTATACGACAAGAACCACTACAAGCTTGCTTTGGGTCAACTACGGACGGCTCGGCATTTGATTGATCAAGTCGCAAAGGATTATGTCCGCCTACTCAAGTTCGGCGACAGTTTGTATCGGTGTAAGCAGTTGAAGAGGGCAGCACTTGGACGGTACGTGGTGTTTTGATTTCTATCTGCCTCGCTTCATGGAAAGGATAGAATGGCCACCATCATGAAGCGTCAAAAGGACCCTCTAGCATACCTGGAGCAAGTTCGGCAACACATATCCCGTCTACCCGCCATCGACCCTAACACCCGAACGCTTCTGATCTGCGGTTACCCTAATGTTGGAAAGTCGTCCTTCATCAACAAAGTCACCCGTGCGGATGTCGACGTGCAGCCCTACGCCTTCACCACGAAATCACTGTTCGTCGGGCACTTGGATTACAAATATCTTCGATGGCAAGTTATCGATACTCCCGGAATCCTCGACCACCCGCTCGAGGACATGAATACCATTGAGATGCAGAGTATCACTGCGCTCGCGCACCTGAAGGCTTGCATCCTCTATTTCATGGACTTGAGTGAGCAATGCGGGTACAGCGTCGAAGCGCAGGTACGTGTGTCTCCCCTTTCGATACGACCTTCCCCAACCCTCCCTTCCAGTGCAAACTATTCCATTCGATCAAACCTCTCTTCGCAAATAAACCCGTCGTGCTGGTCATCAACAAAATCGACGTTACTCGGCTAGATGATTTAGACGAGACAAATCGCGCGCTCGTCCAAGAAATCATCGACAGCGAGAACGTCCTCTGCGTACAAGTGTCGTGCTACTCCGAAGAAGGCGTGATGGACTTGAAGAACAAGGCATGCGACGCGCTGCTCGCACACCGCGTCGATTCGAAGATGAAGGGCAACAAGGTGAACTCGATCATCAACCGGATACATGTCGCGCAGCCCAAGGCGAGGGACGAAGTCGTACGGGAGCCGTTCATCCCGGAGGCTGTCAAGAATAAGAAGAAGTACGACAAGAACGATCCGGAGCGGAGGAAGCTTGAGAAGGACATCGAGGCCGAGGAGGGCGGCCCTGGGGTGTACAACTTCAACCTGAAGAGTAAGTGTGATGCGACCTCAGTTTTCATTGATGTTGACTCCAGGTTTTCAGAGAACTACATGCTTGCGGATCCGGAGTGGAAGATGGACGTCATGCCCGAGATCGTGGATGGCAAGAACGTCGCGGACTTTATTGATCCCGATATTGCTGAGAAGCTGGAGGCGTTGGAGAGGGAGGAAGAGAAGCTGCAGGCGGAAGGCTTCTATGATAGCGACGAGGATATCGTGAGTTTACTCCTGGTGATGTCGCATTAGGACCTTCGATGACTGATTGTCGTGCCATTAGATGGATTCTGAGGATGAGCGAGAAGCGGAGGAAGCAAAGGTCGCCCTCGACGCCAAGATCCGCTCGCAACACACCAAAAAGTCGATGAAGCACGCTGCACGGCTACCACGGACAGCCGGCTTGCGCACATTGTCGGAGATGACTACGGAGCTGACGAAGGCCGGCCTTGACCCGAGTCGGATACAGGAGCGTGCAGAGATGCTCGCGAAAGTGCGCAGCGAGCAGCGGAAGCGGAAGAGGGACGAGATGGACGTGGATATGGAGGACGCTGAGGCCGAGGAGGCGGAGGGAGATTGGATGGATGTGGATGGTGAGGACTCGCCTAATAAGCGGGTGAAGGGCAACTCTGGGAGAGTGGTCGCGAAGGGGAAGAGGGAGCCGAGGTCGAATAGGCAGTTGGCTGGCATGCGGGACGAAGCGGTAAGCTATCAGTTGTCAACTTCTGTGGCAAGTCCTCTCACGCGTCTGGCCCTTTTCAGCAAGCGTCGAAAGCCATCAAACTCCGCAACCTCGGACAGAGGGAGCGGAATATGCATGCGAGAGCGGGAGAGGCCGATCGGCACATCAGGGTCAAGATGGTACGTTGGGCATTGTCCCTCACCATGTTTGTTACTCACTAACGCTTCGTGCACAGCCCAAACATCTGTTCTCTGGAAAACGGAAGATGGGCAAGACAGACCGGAGATAATGTCTGGCTCCCTTTCTTTGTATCATCGCTTCATGTTTCTATCTGTAGCAGTGGCCCAGATATATATGGATGGGCGTGTAAAGGATATCAGTACCAGCACATTGCATTGCTCGTCATTACCGTCATATCTTCGTCAAGGAAATTATGCGACAAACAACAGACAGTCCCAAGCTGAAGCGAGTAAGCATAAGTTAAAACAATACATAAGTTTGCAGCAAAGTCCCCAGGCGAGACGGACGGGTGGTCCCTCGGCAGGCTCAGCATCGCAGGGTATCTTGGCAACGGGGACGCGCACGTCCATCGTCTCGCGCTATGCAGGAGAATGGCCCGAGTCTGCCTCAGCGTAACCCCTGGCGGAGAGGTTCCCCGGGGGCATATGTGGCGCGTCGGGGCTCCCGTACCAATACAGGCTCTCGGCGGACGCGTTCCGGCTGTGCGTGCGTGTCGTATCCATGCTCGCGCGGAAGGGGTCGTAGCCCGCCGCGCGCACGGGCGCGGGGATGAGGTTCGACGGGTCCCCGCGGTTCATCGGGGGCAGGTGGACATAGGTGAGGTGCGGGGAGGGCGAGGGGCACGGGCTGTATTCCGGGGTGGCCGGGTCAGAGTGCGGCTGAAATAGGTGCATCAGGATGTGTGCTGTACTGTGCAATGGAACGGGCTTACGTTGGGAAGCCCCGGGCTTAGAGGCGAGGGCGGCTCGACGTCGAGGCTGACGCCCGTCATGCCCCCCTCCGTCCGCTCTGTCCTTGGCGAATGCACCGTCCGCTCTGTCCTTGGCGAATGCACCGTCCGCTCCGTCCTGGGCGAGTGCGCCGTCCGCTCCGTGCGCGGCGAGTGCACCGTCGTGCTCTCGATGCTGAAGTCGACGCCGGGCGTGCGAGAGATGAGCAGCACGCTCTGCTCGTCCGCGCCGGCGTGTGCGCCGATGACGACCGTCGAGGAGCGCGACGCGGCCTTGGTGCTCACGTCCGTGTCGTCGATGCGGAAGCCCTGCCGGCGCGGGAGCGAGTGCAGCGGCACGGGGCCCTTGCCCGCGAAGATCTTACCCAGGAACGGCTTGTGGTCGATCCCGCGCACGGACTCGCCGTCCGAGTAGGACGACAGGCGCGAGGGGTGCTGCGGGCGCTCGGCGTCGGTGTCCGCCCAGGAGTGCAAGCGCGAGTGCACGACCGGGCTGGGGCCCCGCCGGAGGAGGTCGGAGAGGCACCAGCGCTTTGGCGGGTAGGTGGTGCGGTGCTGGGCGGGAGGGCAGTGTCTCGCACGGTACCACCAGAAGGCGGCGCCGCAGAGCAGGAGGACCGCGAGCCCTGCGATGACGGGCGTGGCGATTTGTATTGGGGTCCACTTGTCTGTGCGTGTATTCGTTGGTGAGTGTACTCGGAAAGTGATGAACGGCGAAGTGCGCTCACTGTCTCGGACCTCTTGCTCGTTGAACTTGTCGCTGGCAATGTCTGTGTACGCCCAGGCTGGGATGTGCACGGCCGCATTTGCGATCGGGTAGTAATTCGTGATGGTGACGTTGTGTGGCCCGCATTTGCTCGTCCAGTCTGAGAAACCCATCGGGCCCTCGTCCCGGCATAGTTCGCAGGCGTTCAGGAGGTTATATACGACACTATTACTATAATAAATGCATAAGACACGAAGAATGCTTGTATATGTGCGTTAAATACCATGAACATGTCGAATTGGCATGTGCACTAAGCCACCCTCGGGCATTGAAAGTCTGCGATGAGTCTTCGCAGACGCATTACCTCCCAACTTCGTGGCTTTAGAAACACTCCACTCACCCAGCTGCGGATAGCACGGCGCTATCAATTGTCGCGCGACCTCACACGGCGTATACCCTTGATCGTTGTTGAGCTGTCGATCATCCGCCACTTTGGTTAACTGGTGGCGGCACGCTAACGCACACGCAAGTACTCGCCTGCCGTACCTGCTCACACTCCTCCTAGCACAGATAAGGGCACTCCCGCATCACTACTCTTCGGCAAAAAGAGTACATACCTGGTCGTCCGCCTCGGCGTTCGCGGGCGCGGGTAACATGGCGCATACCAGGGCTAACAGACTGACGGGAAGGCCGCCATTCATGCTCTGCTCCCTCCGGCGACGCCTTGGGATAATGGGGATATTTGCAGGACGTGCAAAAGAAAGCCTGGGACGTGGTAGGCGTCTAGTCTTGAGGACCGCGTCCGATATAGCTCAGCTCTAACTAAATTAGCAGCGTTGTCGGCAACCACTTGAGTTAGCGCCATCACTGCCTACCAGGACCGGCGGGAGGCTCGCTTACGGATGGAAAGTTTTTAACGGTGAAAGAGAGAAGGATGGACTGGAGAGAAGAGGGGGAGGGCTGCGTCAAAGTCGCCGTGAGAGAGACGGTTGTGGTGAGTGCCGTTCGAAAATTATTGATCACTTTCGCTTCACCAGGTAAGTATTGTGGCTGTCAAGGTTACCAAGTCCCACCACTAGACTTGTCATACTGACGGCCACCTCGGGAAAACGACGGCGGAGAGGCGAGGATATGCGGTGCGATAAACCTATCCTATTGACCGAGATATCCGAACATTCATAGCTTCTCAACAATACAGCCGCCCCCCGCCAGGAGATCTCCAGGGCTCGGACCGAGCGCTTGTCCGACTTGGGATCCTCCGTGCTCACTTCGTTTATCCTTCGCCCAAGTGAATGATAGAACGACGAATACCTATGAACTCGCAAAGCGCTTTCTTCATGTTAGGGTATCGTCGCACATTAAATCAGCCTTGCTGATGGATCAGCTTCTTGAAGCTGTGCTGTACTTCGATCCTTGGGCTGTCGCGGTCCTACACTGACACACAGGCAACCCTCTTGCCGAAATCACAGCTCTCCTCTCCCGGATGCGAGGAGCGAGTTATTGCTTCGTGACAGTCGGCGCAATAACCCCTCGTGCAAATCCTTGATCATATCTGCTCTTTAAGCTTGGTCTGTGAGCTATGGGATGTTGGTCACGGAGCGGTTCATTGGTGTCATGTGCCCTCCAATCTAATCGTATATTTCTCGCATCTTTCAGGCGTCGGCATCGGCTCTCTCTCGATGGTCGCGCCACTCTATATGAGTAAATGAGTGAAATTTCCCTGCCCAACATCCGCGACGAGCTGCTTGTACTAGCAGAGTGAATTATCGTTTTCGGTGTCGTCGTCGCTTACTGGCGAGGGATAGATGCACTTTCCGTCTGCATGCCACTGACCTCGCCCTCCGTACGGTACCCGCTACATATGCTCGGAATATTAATGGGCACGTAGCTGCCCTTCATTTTCCAGATCCTACCAAGTATGGCTTGCTTCCCTTTCCAGCCGACATAGCTGTCATGTCGCACGGCAGGCCTCTTCCTCGCCGCCGGCGCCCTCTTCCCCGCCTTCTCCTCCCACTGGCTCGCATCCAAGGGTCGCGACGAAGAGTGTCTCTCCTCCCTCCCAAGCTCTGCCAACTCCCGGCAGACGACCCCCGCATCTGGCAGGAGTACCTCGACATTCGCATCGAGGTCGCCTCCCAGAAGGAGATGGTCGAATCAAGCACCCGAATTTGGGTGGCAAGCAGGGCTCAAGGTCGACTTGGATAGGGAGGTTGTTCTATGGCCAGACTTGCCCAGGACTGGCCGCTACAAGCGCACGCTTGTTGGCATGGGGCTTATGTCTGTGCAGCTCTCGGCCGGTCCGAGCTTCACTCGCTAATCACCGTCACTAGGTTCTTCTAGTAACCTGTCGGTATTCACGCGCTGATCTACTAGTCCTCGCTCTTTGAGACGCTCGGTCTGGGGTACAACACTCGGCACGTCAGAGTTCCTGCTGCGTCGGCATCCTCTCACCTGTTGCTGTCTCGTAAGCTCAAGATGGGTGGCATCATGAATGTATGTTGGTGCCACCCCATCTTTCCTCTTCCTTGGCTGGTAGGCAAGCAGTCACTGCTCCTTTGGGTTAGCGCTGGCATGACCGTCTGCCACATCATCACAGCCGTCGTGGTCCACCCCCTGCATCCCTGTCACTTCTGAAGTTCAGCAATAGGATGGGATCTTCCAATCATCAGGCCATACACAGTAGAGAAATGCTCAGAGAATGTGCTGGTACGGTTGCGAAGGAGCAGCAGGTCTATCTTTCAAAAGTGCATTTCACTTTGTCAGGGTGTCAGTCACCTTTCGGACAAATGACGTCCACGAGAGGCAGCGCAGACACGAGGTCACGCAATATTGCATATCGCACACTCCGCGTTTTGACCTTGTTGCTACCAAGCGAACCGGGCCCACATGCATATCTAAGCACGCCTACACAGAGTGAGATGCATTATTATCAACCATCAAGATGGATATTCATCTTATCATATTTACACAAGACCCTCACGGATGAGAGAGCTGCCCAGAGACTCAATGGGCTGGAGCACGGACCGTTCTCCTGGAACGAACCTCCCCTTTCGACCTAAGGGTATATGGTCTATTTCTCTAGGGTATATCACGGCAGCGACCCGCACGCCTCCCGGTCCTCCGATGCGGTCACCCGGTCTGGCCTGAATCCTGTCCGCCAGAACAACCACACATCCACCATATCCTGGGCATATGTAAGCATGTTCAGTCGCACGGTTCGTAACACAGTTATTAGGAAGGCCCACCTTCCCGATACCTGCCGTGAAGAACGCTGCTACGGGAACTGGTGGCTGTCAAGTCATGATCCTTCTGGACGGTGATAAGCCTCAGGATCGTCTGACTCCCGAAAACGCGGACTCAGCACATCGTACAAGCCCTCCGGAGCTTATTCGACACAGCACTCACACACCTCTAGGCTTCTATGGGCTCTAAAAGACTTTTTCTATTTAGCTCCGGACTTCCTAACATCCTCGAGGCGTACACGGACCCATTCCGCGATTTATCTCCACGCACCGAAGCTCCGGAGTGACTTAACCAATGCGACTTCTAGCTGCATTAGCTCCGGGACCCGCGGACACTTCTATCGAGGGGCGTCTTCCTCATGCCCACCCTCCAGCACTCACTCCCCCTCATTTCCGTCAAGATACCGAAGGTGCGGACGCATACAAGTCACCATAAGGTCAGCATCAGTCAGCAAACGGCCGGAGGTAATTAACACGTGACCGGCGTGTCGCACGGAGTGATGGGACCGCCTGGGTCAGGTGGCGGAGCGTCAAGGCGACCTATAAGGGCTGGAACGAGCAAGTAGGAGCGTAAGGGAGTCGTATGGTGTATGGTATAGCGGAGGAAAGTGCTGAGCAATCCTGTGGGTAGCGGCGTTTATTTGTTATTTATCTCCGGACGGTCGCAAAGCCATTCCTGTAGTATAAATTGTACAAAGTAGCGTACAGAAAAACAAGTTTCGACTTCACCATCTCAGAGAATTAGCGTTACGATCTCAGCAACCCGAGAAGTTCGAAAGCATCGAACTTAGCGAATTATAACCGATCTTAGCTTTGCCAATAGGCCTGACTCGTCGAGTAAATTATCTCCGCCATCGATTCAATTAGCTCCGGTGAGTCTCACACAGCGGAATAAAATTAAACAAGTCCTTTTAGCGTTTTCTACTCCCGTGGGCCCGAACCTACACTCGGTTCCGTGGTTTGCGACTTTGTTTGCGACTTTCCGGAGATAAATACTCCGGAGCGTCCACTAGTGTTTGTTTCAGGCATCAAGGTTTTGTTTTATTTTTCTAGGTCTTCCTACGGACTACCCTAAGGCGTCTTACTCCTCCTTTCCCCCTCGAACTATTAAATACCCTTCAGTTGTCTCGGACTGCCTTCACCCATATCACGGGGTTTAGGTTTATTCCTTTTGGTCCTTGGTGATTGTTGTGTGTCAGTGCATATCAACGGTATGTAGCCTACCGAGTGCGAGTAGGATATTCGTCGCATCGTGCATTTGCGACGATGATATCTTGGCTTTCAAAGAGAATATTAGAGCAATGCTAATATTTCAAGTTGGTCCTCGATCATCATAATTAGTATAAGAACGAGTATATGCGCACCACACGCCGATTGTGGTGAAGCTCGTGAAGCACACTATGCAGGCCATAAATGCCACAGACGGCTTTTGCGAGCTCTCCGTGTAGCAAAACAGGTGCCACCGCTGATACAGCACCTTCGCAGAGAGCACTAGAGATTTACTGCTGGGTGCATGGTTTGTAAATGTGTCCGGGACGCAAGGACGCACCTTGGTAGACTACGATGCCAACACCGGCAAGTATGACGAAGACGCTGGAGATTTTCCCCCTGTACGACACCCTCGTCAGGACACCCCACGGAGCTCACCGTGTACATTGGACTCACGGTGTCAGCAGAACTTGCGATTGATATAATACCACCTAAATATCTCTAAGCGGTGCAGTCGTCAAGTTCCCCAAGAGAATGCTGGATTTGTCGTTGGTTGAGCAGTTCCCTTTGTGTTCGATGAGGAGAGTATAGGCTTT